TGTGTGTGTGTGTGTGTGTGTGTGTGTGTGTGGGTGCCCATTTGAAAACAATATCTGATTCTATCCACATGCCACTCACCTTCAGCCTGTCCAGCCCTGAGGGCCTGCATCCTGGTGCTTATGATCTAAGTTACCATCAGCCCATGCAATGCAAACTCCTCTTGATAATTACCTCCTGTCCCTCACCAGGAGAGGGTATAATCAGGTTATGATTTTCACCCAAAACACTCCGCACACTTTGAATTACTTACTGACATACCTGAACAGAAAGTGATTTTCCCTCTCTTGGTATTGACTTTCCCAGTTGGTGGGAAGAAAGAACACCAGTTTTGATTTTGTTCGGACAGACTTTGAGCAAAATCAAATAGAATTGACCACAGTCAGGGATACGGGATAGCATACAAAAAATGAGGTCAACAGTTTATTTATATAGGGAATAATAGATTAAATATATAATGCCTGAAAGGCCTGCTTTTTCTGTAAATCAATGAATGCAAAGATTTCTACATAGTTTTTCTTGTCTGTTTTATACACAACCACACACACAACCACACACACACACATATATATATATATATATATATATATATATATATATACATATATATATATATGTGTGTGTAGCCATCAAATAGCCATCATATGTTAACTTCACTTTTTATTTCCACAAAAATTGGGCAACAGCCTTAAAAAATATCAGTTTGTGAAATTTCAAGACGTGTTTTTGGTCAGCTTTTCATTGCCTCTTTAGGGGATTTTGCTCATTCTTTCTGCAGAAGGCTTTCATCTCTGTGAGTCTCGGGCTCTCTTACATGTATGGTTGTTTTGAGGTCTTGCCACAGATTTTCTTTAATGTTTAGGTCTTGGGACTGAGAGGGTCAATGCAGAACTTTTGGATTCCACCTCCCAAGGTAATCCATTGCGGATTTTGTGGCGCATTTAGAATCGTTGTTCTGTTGGAAAGGCCATTATATCCTCAGCTTTTTTGCAAGCATGTGTCTGCTGCCAGGATTTGCTGGTATTTAGTGTCTCCTTTTTTCTCTATTGTTAAACGTTACCTGTGCCACTAGCTGAAACACAAATGATAGATCAATTTCTATCCTTTTCAGGATGATAGGTGTTTTTCTCATAAAATTCTGCAGCATGTCCTCCATGGTGTACCAGACTTGTGAGTTATGCAGTTTAAAACTAATGCTGCATTTGTGGCAAAGATGTAGGGAAGGTTTTTCCTCTGTTGAATCCTCCCTGAAGGTCAGATTTTGGCAGGTGTCATTGCATGGAACACTGCACCACCTCTGCAGAGCCTTTTAAAGCTTCCTGAAGTCATTCTTCAGTCCAACTTAACTTTTGATTTCATTGTAATCTTATGTGCCCAGTAGTAGTTTTCCTGTTTATTTTAGATTTCAGTCTAACCATGACTGTTGCTGTTAACCACCATTCCCATATTAGATTACCTAATGAGAACATAGCTACCTGAAAACATCTGATGGCCTTCTCCTGCTTTATGAGCATCAATTATTCTTTTTTTCAGAGTCCTAAGAAGCTACTTAGAGGCTGATTGCTGGAAAAAAGGTTTTAGTAAAATAGAAGTGTAGCTTTGAAAGTGTCAGTACTTGGGCCTTATAATGATGAGTGTGAAGAAGCCTTTGTTCTAACAAGCTTATTAGGGTACAAGACCTTGTTAAATCATCTGTGAGCTTCACTATTTTCCTTAATAACCACTTAATGTTCAGGTGGTTTGCAAGAAAGTTGCTGCATGTTTTCAGGACAAAGCTGGGGGTGTCCATGGCCCCCTTTTCTACATACCGACCCATGTTATGATCCGTTGGAAAGCTAAAATTATTCAGAATCACTGAATCACCATTCTGACTGGACACAGTCAGAACTGTGGACACAGTAATCACTTACGCCAAACCTGTTGCAAAGACAAAAAAAAACATCAAAATCACCTTTGACGGCACACAGAATTCTTATAATCAGACCCTTGCCAACAAAATTATCCTCTTACATTAGGAAAGGTCTAGTTAACGTACTCCAGTTAAATCATTAGTCCACAGCGAGTCCGACATCCCTCCTACACAGTTAGCATATAGGTATTAGTCACACCATCATATTAAAGCAGCTTTGGTCTTTAAACCTTTCACTTACACTGTCTGCTATGGCACAATAGTGAAGCATTGGCTGATAAGTCAAAAGTACCCATTTCTTTTCCAAAGTATGAAGCTCGAGGGGGCAGTCCCAAGTGTGCCTTTTCATTTGAACAAAAGGTCATGACCGTATGTTGTTGCTTTCAAGAACAGCAGCCCTTTCCCCCCAAAAAATGTATGACACCATGGTTTCCAAATGGCACACTTCTGGCACATGTTTGTCAGCTAACCCTATTATAAGATCAAAACTGTGCAAAATAGGATTTTTTTTTCTTTTATTACAGTCATATTTGAAGTGGGACTAGGTAAGACTTCAGGCTGCAGTCCCATTATGTTTTGCCTTCCACAGCTCCACGGTGAAGTCACCTTTAAGGCAGGTGGACCTAAAAATCGTTCTCTTTTTTCCGAACTCATGTTACTCTGTGACGGAAAAACTTGGATAGATTCTAAGTGTTATGGTGGAGTGTTCTGTTTCTCTTTCAGATCAACTATGCCTCAGCGGGTATGCTTTTTAGGGGTAACTTTAAGGGGTTTCAATATTAAATCTTTATCTTTAGCCAATTTCGAGATAATCGCAGTTGCTTTGAAAATAGATCTTTGCTATGCCTTGGTGATTACAAATGTAAGTCTCTAAACTCAGAGTGTTTCAGTATTTTCTGCAATGTTCCCCTTCGTCAAAGTCACACCTTAAGATAGCTATCATAGCTTTTTTTATGATAATAATGTGTCAAGTCAGTGTGCCAAAAAGCTAGTGTGATACGGATGATAAACCCAAGTGGTATTATCACCCAAATCATTTGCAGCTCTGGCCAGCTGTTTTTACAAGAAGCTTCAGCTCAATGTGCAGTTGCACACTTAATCGTGCTGTTTCAGTACACTTTGGCTGCTTTCATAGCATCATTTCATCTGTAGCAAGACGATATAAATGCACCTTGCACTTCTTGTTTAGTGGCACACAGTAAATAGACACAGTTAGCAGCTATGTGGTGAGCACTTAGCAGCCAAGAAGCCAGAATTTCCCAAAGGAGTTGGTTGGAATCAAAAACAGAACTAAAAGCACAAGAGATATTGGATTTATATTCTTTAGATGAAGAGGTGAGAAGATAAAATTAAAAACACTAATGCAGGATTACATGCATGCATCATTTTTTGGGCTCCCCTGTGTCGGAGATAGTAATTTTAATCTTGTCCAGGAACAGCAGACTATTAAAACGACTGTACAGAGAGGTAATTACCGAGCGTAAGTATATTAAACAACGATTACAGAAAATAAAAGACTGTAATAGTCTGAAAAACAATGACAGATTTTGTTCAGGTAAATTTTGAACGCGTGAAAATTTGTTTGATTCTTTGATGGTTACAATTTCTTCTCAAAATCCATTACATTATGTACGCTCTAGCTTGGTGTTATCATTTGTGTCCTTTTGCATCCATATCACTTTCTGTTTTATGATAGATTTAAAAGAATTATGCTTATGCCAGAGGAAAGTAGGTCATGCAGGTACTGGATTTGTTGTAGATCTTTCAAACAATTGTGCATCCCATCTTAAAGATGTGAGAGATGACAAGCAGATGCAAAGCATGAAGTCGCAAAGGTGGGGCATGCATGTGCACGGTGGCATATTGGCTGCGACTGAATGGGAGCTTTGAATGAGATCTGATTCATCATTGTAAAGAAAGACATATTTTAGAGGGGGATATATCGTTCAGTCAGTGTCAACACTTTTTGTGTTTGGATGTAAAAAGGAGAGCTGGCACCTCAGCCCTCACATTTTAATATTGCACAAAAGTGTCATGTAAAAGATGAAGTGGTTTGTGT